GCTGATCATATTATATCGGCTGGCTTAGCCGGCTAAGCTGCCTTAGCCGCGGCTGCCCTAGCCGGCTTGTAACACTACGTCTACCTCCCCTTGTAACCTGGCATTTGGATTATTTGATTAACATATTTTATTTTTTGCCCTAAGCGGTGTCTGACGTTAATTAACCAATAAAATCAGACTTAAATTATACCTGCTATAGCTAAATTTGAACTCTCATTACCCAAACACGGATTTAATCTTTAAATTGATACGTAATGAAAACAAATCAAAAATAGTAGTTTTCTGAAAGAAAATGAGCTGGTAAAATTGAAATATATCGGTTACAATATGAGTGCTATAACTAATTATTTTTCCTGGTTTAATGCAGGAAAGGTACAACAAAGGCACTTGGCCGCTTACCGCAAAGAATAGCCACAAAAACTGGTCTTCGGACAGGCATGCATCAATATTTCCTTTAGTCATTCAAAAAAGTGATATAGAGTTATCCCTCAATATTGCTAAACATGAAAATGCGCAAAAAAAAAAAAAGGTTATATTTCCCTAAAGCTTACAAAACTTTATTCAACAGAAACAAAAGATCTCCGATATGACGATATACAAACTCGATTTAGTGATTTGACTAAGCAAACAGAAAAATTACATGATGATGCTAAAAAGTTTAGGGATGGAGTTTCAAGTTAGTTAGATCATGTTCGTTTTTTTTTATTTCAATTTATATATACGGTGCGACTGAAAAACAATTTATAGATATGTTGAATCATCAAGCAAATTTTGCTGATCTCCTCGTCGAATTATATAATCCAATTACTCCTGAAGGGGCGACAGAGGGCGCGGTAACCCGTCGTACGAAAACCCCCGCTCAAACCATGAAAGCTGCTGAAGAGTATGCAAAATTGATGTCTAATGTAAGAGACACTATACTAGCTGAATTGGTAAGTTCCCAATACCTAATCAATATTATTAAATGGGGTTTTTGGTATTTTTAATAAGTGTTTAATAATCTATTAGGATTCTGTAGATCGTAGAATTATCATTCCGGCCACCGAATTTTTAGATGTTATCAAATTAATCAAAAAGACTGTAACAAAACGAGAACATAAAAAAGTTGACTACGATCGATTCCAAAATAGTGTGAAAAAACTCAAGGACAAGAAAGATAAATCATTGAGTGAGGAAAAACAATTGCACAAGGTATTTAAATTCTGAAAAGGTTTGTTGGGTAATTATGCTTATATTTACATTTATTATTATCAATAGTATGAAGATCAACTTGAGCGTGCAACGCAAGAATACGAGCATTATAATGAACTATTAAAAAAAGAATTACCACTTTTTTTCGAATACAGAGTTGAATTCATTGAGCCAATATTTGAATGCTTTTACCATATGCAATTGAGAATTTATGGGTTATTATTTGAGCAGTTTGAACAGTTAGCAGAATTAGGATACTTTGATTTCGAATCTGATATAATTGATGGGTTTGATAAGAAAATAGTTGATGCCAGGGAACAGTTGGACGACATAACATTGTTTAAACGAAGCAAGCAAAATAAGAAACAAAATGGTGTGTTATTACTATAATATTTGTGCTTTTAATGCACTGGTTTTCATACTTGATATAAATTTTAACAATCTGTTGAAAGAGAGTTCACGTAAACAAAGTCCTATTCGGGAGTCTGCACTTACACGTTCTTCGGGACAAGTACCGACCTATTCAAAGGAAGACCATAGTGAGGAAGACGATGAACCTCCTGCTTATACTCCTACACCTGTTAAAGCGCCGCCGCCGCCACCACCCGTTTCCCGAAAGCCAAAACCTGTACGATATGTAGTTGCTTTGTATGATTACGAGGCAACAGCTGATGGAGATTTATCTTTCCGGAAAGATGATAAGATTGAAGTTATCGAGCGAACGCCCGATGTAAATGATTGGTGGAAAGGGAAGTTGAACGGTGTTATAGGTTTATTCCCTGGTAATTTTAATTTTTTTCTATATATTGTTTTGTTAGAATTACTTTCTAATTGATACATATATATTTTTTTCAGGCAATTATGTTGCCGAATTATAAATTTGTTTGATAATTTCTTTGGGAAAGGATTTACGGCTACAGTTAGCTCCCGAATAGTCACATCCGCAATAGTCACAATCATTCATATTAACCCTCGCTATAGTCGCATTAAATTTCTGCCAGATGTGACTATAGCGGGAGTCGGGAGTTGACTGAATAGATAAGGTTTAGAACTAATATTCCCAGATTCTTAATTATCTTGCCACATTGAAATCTTTGTATTATTATACTCATAATAAACATATAATAAACATATGACAAATTGGAAATTGTCATATATATATTTATTGTTAATAAAATTAATTTATATCATTTTAAAATTCATTGCTTCTGGAATTAATCCAACTAGAAAATCGTTTTTAAAACTAAACTTATATATGACAAAGACTTTATTTGTCGTGTTTTATTATAACGATTTGTATATTATACAATAATAGCTAAGGATCAGATTCTGGAAGAGAACTCGGATCAGAAACATTGATTTTGCTCGCTGATTTTCCTCCTACGAGCAACCTATTCATAACACCAATGCTTTTAATACCACCTTTCTCTCTCCTAAATTGAATTCTCTTCAATCTTTCTTCAAGTTTTCTCGCTTTTTCTTTTAGTTTTTCTTCTTTATAAGCCTGCCTAACTTTAAACGGCTTTGGTCCAAATTCAGTGTTTATCATCAGCCTCCCTCTATCTAAAAGCAACTTTTTATGCACAACAAATCTAGGCCATTCCAAACCAGCTTTCTCTGCTGGAACATCTTTTAAAGCTTCTCTTTCCCAAAAAATTTTAATTCTGCTAGTTTTATTACTTTCCATGCCTTTCAACCCTAATTTATTTAATGCATAACATAAGTTACAAATGCTTTTATCAATTTGATCCATATCTTCAATTTGGCGAATTTTTCGAGCAGTTTGTTTATAATCGGGGGGTTTTGGATATGTGTCAAGTTTATCCCGAACTGCATTATGAGTGGCTGTTACAGAGCCATAACTAGAGAAACCAGTTACTGCTATGATAGGTTTCCAAAAGTCTCTGCGAATTTTATGCGGACGTAGTTTTACATCTTTAATTTGTTTTAAATATCTGCTCTACAAAATGAGAAAGAATGCTAATTTTAAGGGTCTAGTTGTTTCTACTGTTCCTTCAATTAAATAAATACCTTTAAATTTCTTCCGATAGCTAATAAAACTTGATTTGTATTAATGTTAGCATATATAAAGAATTGATCTAATCTTCGTTTACAATTCAATATATCAAAGGAAGATTGATTCACGTTCTTGATTAATGGTCGGCCGTTAGTTATCATTTTCTGGAAAACAAAAAAAATTTAGAAGAAATAATTTATTAGGGTCAAACATAGGGCAGGGTCACTAATGATTGCGGATTTTTTATGGATCTTATTAAAACAAAAATTAACTAATTAGAATGCTATTTTTTTTTAAATTGAATCTCTAGACTAGCTCTACAATGAAATAGAGCTATTTTTTTAATGGACGATTTTAACGCTCACCAGAGGTGAAATTCACCGGGGTTTTGTATCTCGAAAACTTACATAAAGTCAGGGAATGAAATCGGGACCTTATATCTAATCTACATAATGCTATATCTTTTACAGTATGTTGCGAAAATAACCAGAATTAAAAATTGTGTAATTGTGATACAGCAGTATCATTAAAATTAAATAAAA